TCTTCTCCAGTTTTCCCCAAAGTTTCAGCCAGATTGGAACATCCTCCGAGTTTTCGCGGAGTTTTTTCCTTTTTTGCCGACTCCCTGAATAACCCCATAACTGAAAAAACTGATACATTCGTTCAGGGAAGAAAACACGGTGTTTTTCGGAACGTCGTGTTAATGCACTCGAACGCTAATTTCTCGAAGAGGCGTCTGACTCGACGCGAAGGCTTCAAATTGAAGTCTTACGGTTTTGTGTCTGTATTCAACCGGAAGAAGCGCGAAAAAAAATGTATTTTTTTTAATGTTTCGGAAAAAACACCGCGGGAAAATGATAGATTTCTTGTGCCCGGATTGTTGAAATCATTGAAAATGTTTGAAGCTTTTTGTCTCAAGTCCTATAATATTTGTACACCCATTTCTTTTCAGTTTCCCAAATTTTTCACATGAAATGTCAACTGTTCCAGCTTTTTTTTGAAGAACAAATTGTGTTGAAACACCTGTAACTCGTTCCGAACCCAATTCTATCTATGATCTGGTCGATATTCTTGCAGTGTTCCTTCTTCCATTACTACATGTCATTCAGACAGAACCTTATTCTATTCTTGTACTTTCTCTCTCCCAAACAATGATTCACATTTTCGCTGGAAGGCAACGTTTCTGTGTTATAAATACCTTGACCAAACACGCTCATACCCGAGACAGAATTCGTATGAGTGACTGGTTATTGTGCGCAAGAAACTTTTTGGTAAAAATATTCATTGGAATCAGTAGAAGAATGGGAAAAGAGTGGGGAGAAGAGGAAGGAAATGGGGATCGGGGGAAGAGAAACGGGTGGAGCAGAAGAGAATATTCACGTTTTTAGAACAAAAACCAAAAAATTATCAGTGCATGTGGGTTCATGGGATGAAGGGACGGCATTTTGGAATTCAATATTCGTACGATAGTTTAGTTATTCTCATGTTCTTAGAATGATAAAAACTTTGAAAGGAATAAATAAGCTGAAAATTTTAATTTAAAGGAGAAATCGAATCCCAGGGGGTGTTAGGCTCACAACTAGAAAATAGAACAGGTCAAGAATTTTCAAAAAAGGAAAATATACTAAAAAATGGAGAACACAGAAGGAGAGAGAAAGATTGGCAATAGTGCTAGCCTGCATAGTCAAACCTTACCGGATGGAGCACAGTTGCTAGGAAAATGGAACATATGAAGAAGAAAAAAAGGTAAGGAAAAGAAGAGCATGTGAAACTCGTTTTTGTGCGCGGTTATATTGTGGAACGAGAAATATTTTGATAAAAGCGGGAAAAAGTAACGATTAGAAGACGATGAGGAAGTAAATTGATGATCCTTATTCCATCAGTTTACTTTTTTCCAGCAGTCGTTCCAGGTCGTCCTCCGCCTACGGCCGGCCGCCCGCTGTTCATACCTTGGTATTGATATTTCGCTTTCTTCTCTGACGGCTTCAGAATCTGCAGATAGAGAAGATTAGTATGTGTTCTAATGACAGATTCCGTTTTTTTAATGTTTGTTTTGTTCATTTTTGTTCACGGAATGTACTTGAGCTACTGATGGCAAAAAAACCTGATTTAATACTGAACAATTTTTGATGATCTACAAATTCTAATGAACAAATTAGAATGTCTGTCAAGGTTCAAGTGCATTGATTGATGAAAAACCGTTGACGTAAAACAGGCAGTTGAGAGGAGTTTACCACTCGAGTTTATTGTTTTTGTAGGAGAGCGGGAGAATAGCCAAACGATGCAATGCTAACTGTCAAAAAGTTATCCTAGAATTTCTCATATCTCTGGTCTAGAAGGGGGCAAAGTCTTTTTTATTTTTTTCCTATGTCAAATATTAAATCTATCAAAATGATCTTTCAGCGAGATTCAATACGCGCAAAGTTTTTATGGCTCACCTGGAAACTGCACATTAACGTCTCATCAACGCTCATCATTCCACCGGCATTGTCGAATTCTCCACAATAGTTCGGAGCAGAGAATAGTGTCACGAGCTGTCTTTTCGCGAAGAACTCATATCCATCTTCCACAACTTGATGTGCTCTGCATATTAGGTCCAAATCGTGGCGATTCAAGAACTTGGCAACAACGTCTGGTCCGAATGTGAACGAAACTCCTCTATCGTTTTCTCCCCATCCAGTCACATCCTTGTCTGGATCGGACCACAACAAATCGCACAACAATCCAGTATCTGGGACATCAGTCGGTCGCATCACGCGGCGAATCTGCTCCATGTTTTGAAGATCTGGGGAGAGACCTCCGTGGCAGCAGAAGATCTTCTCGTCTATGAGTGCAGCAATTGGGAGACAGTTGAAACAGTCGGTGAAAGTCTTCCATAATTTGATTGAGAAACGTCTTTTGCCTGAAAAATAAGTTTTCACTGCAAGGCTCATCTGATGGAAATCGATTCCAACTCAATTTTTGGTGCATTATTTTTTGAAAGAATCACTCACACTCGTCGTAGAATCCGTAAATACGATTGATAGAGGCACATTCGTGGTTTCCACGGAGAAGGAAAAAGTTCTCTGGATATTTCACTTTGTATGCGAGCAACAAGCAGATGGTTTCCAAACTCTGCTTTCCACGATCGACATAGTCTCCGAGAAAGAGATAGTTTGCCTCTGGCGGGAATCCTCCGTACTCGAACAAACGGAGAAGATCATTGTACTGTCCGTGAATGTCTCCTGAAAAAATTATTGAATAAAATGTGATGGTTTTCCAAATCTGTGTTCAAAATCTCGTTTGAATAGAAGCAGTCTGTATTTATTACAATTTTCGCATCTTTCAAGACATATTTGGAGACCAAAATGGGTCGAACAGATAACTATTTAGTTTCGTTATTTAAACTTTTAAAATTCAATGCGTAGCGCCGGATGCCTCGTCATCAGTGATAATTCGTATTTGAAACTAGCCAAAAATGAAATGTTAACGAAAATTATTTAGAACTGGAAGCCGAGTTGTCAGCTGTTCAGGTCTTTTTGAGAATTATATTTGGAAATAAACTTTTAAAAAATACTAACCGCAGATTTTGAGTGGTGCTTCGAGTTCCAGAAGAATTGGTTGCGACAGGAAAATCTCACGAGATTTGTGACACAAGGCGCGGATCTCTGCCTCCGACATGGTTACTGGTTTTCCAGGACGACATCCACGGACTGTAGATACTTTTAAAAAATGATGAGGACAATTATGAATGTTTAATTACCTTCCAGGAGCCGAGTGATCAAATTGTCAATGTTTAAATCGCCATCGTTTGACATTGTTCTTGCAGCTGCGGACTTCGCGGCTTCTGTTGGTCACCTTTGGATGGATGGCAAGTGGTGTGTGTCTTGCCGACAACTGATATTGCTTGTGGCTGAAAAAAAAACATCTATTAGCAATGATTCGAGAAAAAAGGTAACACGAGATTCGGTAATTGGAAATAATGGAATAGGGTGGAAATGAGGAAAAAAAACCTGAAGTCATGTGTATCTTATAACTTGATAGGAAATTAAGCAGGAAACGAAGATTTAGACGCATTCTCCTAATTTCCTGAGCATAAACTCTAATAACGATTGGGCTAGAAACTTCCTTATAGCAGAACGCATCAGAAACCGATGCCATTGATAGCTCAAACGAAAACATAACGGAGGTGTGCGGCATAAAACGAAACTTCGTTTCTAAAGTTTATTTTCAGCACGATGTTATGCAAATTTTGATCATTGTGTGCGACACGTGATATGTGGGAGAAGATCGACCAAAAGTTCGAGAAGATGTACTTTTAGAAGGAATGTGGTAAAATATCATGGAGAAAAAGTGGAACGTTAATATTTAACTTATTGTAGGAGAAATGTTAACTATTTCGGATGGGCAAATGATCTAAAAAGTTTGTTGGCAGAGAATTGTTGAAAACGAGCAGGCGACTGATGCGAAAAAGAAAGGAAGACAAAAAAGTTTGTTGATGTACTAAGAGTTGGAGAAAAGCGTCATGTACTCTGGTAGTAAAAGACAACAAAATCGAGGAGCAAATCGAGACCGTACTCTCTGAATGTCTGTGTCTCTATATTTTTAGAGATGACTCATCACAACTTCAGACGGTTTTGCTTCTCTATCTCTTGCTTTCTTTGCCCCATTATATGTTATACACCTGTATAGTTCCGACGGATAACGGTGACGACGCCCGTTCCCTATCTCTGCCGTCGTTATCAACGACCCCCAGGAGCGAACATGTCATAAACACGACACCGTCGTCACAGCATGCGGATAACATTACACCAGAAGAAGACGGAGGTAGTGATGAAGATGAAGGCAAGGTAGAAAATAACAGCTTTCAAAAATCTAAGAGAAACATGTGGTTGTAGTCAAGTAAAGTGGTTTCATCAATCGTGAAGGAAAATGTGGAGATCGGATGAAATGCCGCGTATAAAAAGAGGAGCGAAAAGTGACGACGGACTGAGACGCATGTGTATGTGCCTGTCTCTATGTGTGAGTGTACGAGTGGAGCGAGAGACGAACGCGGGCCGATCCAGCGACCGCTGTCCGCCGTATTGATCGATAACTCGCCACCGTCGTTTTCTTTCTTTCGCCGAAACAATTTGCGTTGTTATTGCATTGCCCCCCAACCCGGTATGGCACGTGCGTTTTTAGTACGATGGTACTGACAGCAGCTGCGACGTCATGGAATAAAAGAAGGCGACAGTTTTCGAGAAAGTTTCGTTATCTTTTTATCAGAGAACGTCTCTCATCTCTTACCTTTTTGATGACGAGGTGGCGGCTCGTCTTGCGATAAAAAACAACAATAAAACGGCCCAGGAAGCATGATGTGCTCTTTCTCCTTCACTAAAACAAACGGCGAAACGAGATGTACAAGTATTTGATTTGCACGCAGAAAGTTTCGACAGAGGAAATCGACGGCGACGGGAAAGACAAGATTGGCGAGGGCAAACACTTCTTGTGTGGCGGAGATCTTCGCCATTTCAGAGGTTCATAAAAAATGATTGTGTTCGTTTTTTTCTTAGGAAAATTGGATTTATTGAATGTGTGAATATTTTAATGGAGGTTATCAGCCGCAGTTGACACTTTTTATGGGAAGAAATTCAATTTCATAATCTCATTTTTTAGCAGCTTCAAAGACCTATTTCTATGCTGACTAATCATTTCCTTGTACAAAAAATTGGACAATTGCCCGAAAATTCTACTTATTCAAATTAGGCGAAAGAGAGAAAGGGCACTTCAGAGTTATTTACTGAGTGGGGGAGATAAAGATACTAGTTTCCTAAGATTTCGAATAAATTCAAATACATTATAGAACTAAAACAAAGTCGAAATTAAGCAAAGCAAACTACAAAAAAAAGGCAATTCGCCAGGTAAATTCGAAAAAGGTGATGGTGCGAACATTTTTGAATAGTACGCAAACACCGCGACGCCGAACTGCACACAAAAAATGACCGTACTCTTGTACTATTTTAGGTAAATAAATAAATGGGATTCGTGGAAAAATACGTCCAAAAACCATAATCCAGTCAAATACCAGAAACCAAACTTAAAAATTAAAATATTCAGATTTTATTGTTATCAAATATTTACACATGCTGAAATTTATCTTGAAAAAATCCTAATTATAAATAGAAAAAAGAACTAGCAAAGTAAGCCGCGAAAAAATGAAAAAAAAGAGGAAAGGGGTTGGACAGGAGCAACGAGAAGCTCGCATCGAGATGAGGGCTCGAATTCAATTTATCGAATCGCAGAAGCAGAAGCAAAAAAAGTTGTTGACTAAAGAAGAAACCGCAAGTTTTGAGAGGGTGAAAAAAGGAGGAGGAAAAGGAAGATTTCACGACGACGAAGAAGAAGAAGAGGAAGAAGAAGTTCGGTATTCATTCTTTGTGTTTGGAGCTCCAGCCTTAATTGAGTCCAACCTTACAAAAAGTCAATGATAATGTTATTACTAGAAACGTTATGATGATTTCATGAATAAAAAAGTATTATTTCCGAACCTATATAATTAATCCAATTATAGATGAAGACATTACTGCCAGGGATACAATATAGACTAGCATAACTGAAGGTTCAAAACAACACATAACATCCAAGAAATTGAACGTTTTCTTCATATTCATCAGAAGCAGAAATCTTCGGAATGGTTCGAGTATTCTTTCGGCCACTCCCTTTTAATCGAATTACGACAAAATGAGGGAGAGAAAGACTATGACGACCGCCGTTCTTATTCACATTCCATTAGATGACCAGGACAACTAAGAAAAAAACAGAGAAAGAAGAAGTACAACACTTCACAATACCAAACTCTGCTTCGTGTTTCTACTTTGTTTCAAACTAAAACTTCTGCACCAGAATACGAAATCAGAAAAAGAAGAAGCTGCATTTCTTTGTTTATTGATTTTTGAAAGAGTGTGTTTTGTGTTTGGAAAAAGTGGATAAAAGGTCAAGAGCAACGAGGAAGTAGGAGAAGAGAGTATCGGTTTCACTTATTTGAGTTTTTGAGTTCAAATGTTGAAAAGAGTTTTTCCTCACGAGTCAGTGGCCGTTATGAAAATAAATATTCTATTGGATTTCCGACCTATAAATTTAGTTTAATGAATTATAATTCTACTCGGACGATCCGAGAGTGAAGAAGTAGAAGTGGCTTTGAGTTCCTCTTATCATTATTGTTCTGGCACAACGAAACCGGAGCTGTGAAAGAAAAAAGCTTGTGGGCGTGGCCAATGATTCCTGCAACGAAAACCACAGTAACCTAAAATTTTCGGTTGCTTTTTCTTGATTACTATTGCTTTTTGACAACCTTTGTTTTGAAAACCTCCAAACAAGTCGGAAATAAAAAATTTTCTGAAACTAAAAATTCGCCTGAAAAAAACCGAATAATCAAGAAAAAAATATACTAAAAATATTTGCAAACTACCGTAGTGGCCTCGGCCACCAGATTTTCTCTTCCACAGCTCCGATCTTTGTATACCAGAATAATAAGTGAAGAACCAAGTAATAGTTTTGCCATATTCAATTTCTACAAAATAAATAAAAAACGGATACCTAGGATTGGGACGTCACAATTTTCGAAATCGAAACCTAGAATTTCGGTGTCTAACATTGTTCATTCAAATATTTCCTCTACCATTCCAGTAATATCTCTCTAGATGAAATCGGATACTTTCAGAATTCCCACCTCTGCTGTGTGTTTTTTTTCGACGAAATAATGAGTTTGAGACTGCATTCCTTTTTCTTCAGATATTGAAAACAGGAAGTTATGTCCCTCTGAAAACATGTCTGGGAACGGGAAAAAGAAGAGGAAGGAGTTCTGAAAGTGGCTAGCAGCACGTTTTTTTTTCAGACAAAAATTTCCTTTGGGAAGGAAACCCCTTGGGAAGAAATTGGCCAAAAAAAGGAGATGTTTGTCATCTACTAGAATCTACTTGGGAATTCGAAAAAATTCGAAAAAAGGCATTGACGGTTTCTCTAATTCATTGGAACGTCATCAACATCATGAACATGCTTTAAAAACATGACCCCAACTCCTGTTTCATGAGCTCACTGAGCAAGAAAAACATGCAAAAAAAGAGAAACAAGACCGAAAAACGACGGAAAAGTGAATCTGAAGAATGCAAGGAAATCTTCTTCTTCTTCTGTGGCGTCTCAAAAATGACGTCGTTGCTCTTTCCTACTGAATACTGGCTGTTTCGTGTATGTGCTCAATAGCTCTAGGAGTACGTAGTGGGAAAAACGAAGAAGAGGCGGAGAAGGGCTCTTGGAGCAAAAGAAGAAGAAGAAGAAGAAGAAGAAGAAGAAGAAGAAGAAGAAGAAGGAGGGGCACTGAGACCCTTTGTGCCAGCAGGAAAAAATGAAGGAGAAATCGAGAAGCAGACGGAGAGAAAAAGAAGAAAAAGGCATGAAGATGGCGGGAAGGAAGAGGACGAAAAACTGCTGTGGGAAGAAGAAGGATGGTGAAACGAAGGCATTGATTCGAGAAGGCGAAGAAGACGACGAAAACGAAAACTAGGAGACAAAAAAGTTTTGGGTTTTTTTTCGATTCCTTTCCCAAAACGGAGACGAAATGAGAAAGGAACAATTTGAGAAAAAAGGAAAACAAGGAGGAACACTAGTTTGGATTTGGGGAAATTTGAAAAAGAATGCTAATACAGAGTTCCAAAAGACCTGGTCAGAAATCGCGCTTCATATAACTTTTAGGCCAGGCGAATTTCAATAATTTCGAAGTGGGGGTGAAACAAAGAAGCCCAAATCTCACGTTCACTGGGGCGCGATTTCTGACCAGGCCTTTCGGAACCCTGTGTGCTATCTCAAATTTGTGAATCTGTAATTTTTATGGAGTCTAAGCAGTTTTATCTTAAATTAGAACATTTCTTGATTAAACATATCCCTATTGAAAACATCACAAACGTTTCAATCATGAAGCTGAGCTTTTGAACTTCAAAATTGAGAAAATACAACTTTTTGACATTTCGAGTCCTTGTCTTTTTTTCCAACAACTGATAGTAGTCTGATCACCCAGACCTGCAGTTTAACAATCGTAGAACTACCCGGATTTTTCTCTTTGTTTTTCGAGAGAAGAAAGGATACTGACGAAAAAGAAAGGACCACAAAACATTCTACCCTTTGATCACCTAATATTTAGGCATAGGGACAATTTGTCTTGCCACCCATTTCCTTTCTCGAAAATGCTCAAATCCGTTTTTTCCTTTTATTCTTTGTTCTATTGCCTGCTCAAAGTGCTCAAGCCTAAACTTTCACGAATTATTTCTTCGCAAAATCATACAGGGTTCGAACTTCTGTGGTATGCGGACGCGCTCTATTGAGTACCCAATTTTGTTGTTTTTCCAACGACATAAAACTTTGACATGCCCCTTCTTATTAGAGCGCATCCGCATACCACAGCAGTTCGAACACTGTGGTTTCTCGCTAAATTGATAACATGTTCTGCATCTTTCTATTTTCTCAGAAAACGGATCTGCTAATTCGAGTCAAATGTCATTACTTCTCATATATCTGGAAATGCCAGAATGCAGATTTTGCAGAAAAGAGAAAATATCAGATTCGTGGGATCAATTGAATTCGAGAATAACAATTACGAAGAAGGAAGAATAGTGAGCGAAATCATATTGGAATTATGAATATCGTTTTGTTTGTTTTTCAGAAAAGGAAAATAAAAGTCAATTAGTCTTCTAGATTTTTTCGGGGGATGTCAATAATTTCTTGACATGAATTCCAAGTGACAACGTCTAGGCCCGAATGAGCATATGAAAGCCGTTAGGAAAAAGTAGGGGTATTAGTAGGAGAAGAAGAATAAATGACGTTGTGAAGTCTCAAAACGAAATGGGTGTTCATGATGATGGCATATCGGGAATTCAGCTGTTGACGGAAAACAGCGTACTCTGAATCATACTGTTCAAGAATAACACCTGCAGAAACGAACTTGAACAAATTAATGACCATTGACAGAGAAGAAATGCATGTTAACTAAGATTTACTAGTTCCTTGGGAAACCGTTGATAAATCTGGAGCCTTGGATTTTTTTCAGTAGAAGAGGACTACAATTTGATAGATTGACCCAATTCTTCTCTGGTACGGGATTGGAAAACCAATCTAGTAAATTATACCAGCCAACCTATGGCAATTAAAATAAAACCTGTATTAGAAGGGTCCTACTATTAAAAGGCTCCTCTGAGAAAAGCTTGGATAGATAGAAGGGCCCTCTTAAAAGGTGTCTTTTGGAATAATACATTTCCGTACGTTGCCAGTGAAAAATATTCAAAAATGTCAAAAATTCACAGAAATTTGTTGAAACAGTGTTTTTTGCTCAAAACATATTGAAGAAATTCTGGCAACAAGTACGGAAGGATAGAAGGGCTCCCTCTAATTGAAGGTCCCCTGTGATATATATATCATGGAACAATAGAAAACAAAACCCTTCTAATACAGGTTTTATGGTAGTTTTCCTACGAAGAAGGGTCCGAAGTTTACCTTATAAAAATATGTGATTATTAAGTACTGTTTATAATTACTGTATATTATAGTAATATTCTTGTAAAATTACAATAACATAACTGATGAGAGACAAAAACCGGTAGTCCGAACTGATTTGTAAAATATATTTGAGTAGATCTCAGCTCGAAGACAGTGAATGAGTATGAGCAAAATTGAGGAAAAAAAAGGAGATGTGTATGAGGGAATTGACATGGTGAATGAGAAAATTTGTGTAAATTTAAGAAGGCCACCATTGAGGGTTGGCCATATACGACGAGGCGTTTGTTGGGCCATTTGAAAAGTAGCCGGAAGCGGTCGGGAGATAGGCAGAAGGCGTTGGGAGGTAGCCGGAATTCGTACTTCCAAATGCCACAGTGTAAGGAGAAGTGGATGAAATGTCAGAAGAACGAGCAGTTGTGTCTCCACGTACTAACATGGGAATAGGCATTCTGAAAAATTGAGGAACTAAAAACAAATGTGTCGTTTCGAGAAACTCACGTTCTTGTGGGGAATGTAGTGGATGCTGTCTGACTGGAAAATGCATTCGGCATTGCTGACAGAATTGATGATTGGTTGATTGGCTTGTCTTGATGACTTTTCTTAGTTTTGTATCTGTAAAACCAAATTCTTATTGATGGGAGCTTAATTCTCTTTTAGCTTACCGATGATTCTGGAACCAGATTTTGACTTGAGTAGGAGTCAGTCTGATTTGCATAGCCAATGCTTCTCTCTCGGGAGCACTCAGATACTTCTGTGTACGGAATCGTCGTTCTAGTTCGTAGGTCTGAGCTTTAGTGAACAGTACACGACGTTTCCTTTTCTTTCTCTTTCCAGTTCCATCGTCTTCCTCATCATTCTCTTCATCCATTTCATCGATTATTTCCTCATCGTCTTCTAGTTTTATTCTGAAAATTTTATAAATTAACTTTTGAAACTATTTTCTGGAAGACTGAATACCCACCCATTTTTATCATCCTTGTTTCCATTTGAACCATTTCCGTTTAGCATGTCATTATCAGAACGTTGAAAAGATTCGGCAGGTGGAAGAGTATACATGGGTCCTAGAATGAAAGTTTCTAAATTTAAAATTCGTTTCGAAAAATGAATTAGCAAATAATTCGGAGGGTACAATAATTCGGGGGTGCAAAGGGGTACAAAGCAATTTAGGGGTACAAAATCCTCAATTCGGGGGTACA